AGGAAAAGGAGGGGGAGGAAAAGGACGGGGAGGAAAAGGACGGGGAGGAAAAGGACGGGGAGGAAAAGGACGGGGAGGAAAAGGACGGGGAGGAAAAGGACGGGGAGGAAAAGGACGGGGAGGAAAAGGACGGGGAGCCCCCCGGCGTGGGTCAGGGGTGTGCGTGGGCCGATCTGTGGGGGCGGCGGGGGGGACACGATGGGTCCATGCATACCTGGGTGATGGAGGACAATGTGGGTGACATTGTTGGTGAGAACTGTTTGGGGTGCTGCCTTCTGGAGGTGTCGCCAGCGCCCATCGGGAGGGTGAGGGGGCTGAGCGGGACCCGTCGGCGCGGCGAGGTGCAGGCCGAGGTGCAGGCCGGCACCAGCGGGGCGTAGGAGGAGGCGCTCAGGCCGGAGGGCAAACTGGGATTACTGGGGGAAGACTGGAGGGGCTGGCTGCGGGGGGAGGTGGGGAGGGAAGGGTTGGAGAGGGAGGAGGAGAGGGAGGAAGGCAGGGACTGGTTGGAGAGGGAGGAGGGGATGGAGGAGCTGCTCTGGGAGGAGGGGAGGGAAGGGTTGGAGAGGGAGGACTGGAGCGAGGGGCTGCGCAGGGAGGCCTGCAGGTTGGGGTTACTCAGGGAGCTCTGCATAGGAGAGGGAAGGCCTGTGGGGAACAACAAGAGACACCAAGAAATAAACAAAAGAACCAAAAAAACCAAAACAAACGAAAAAAAAAACACAAAAAAAATCAAAAACACCCCAAAAACAAACAAACAAACAAACCCCCCCCCAAAAACCCAAAAACACCCCAAAAAAACCCCCAAAAACAGAAAACACCCCAAAAACTAAACAAAAAAACCAAAAAAAACCCCAAAAAACCAAAAACAAACAAAAAAACAAACAAAAAACCCCAAAAAACCAAAAACAAACAAACAAAAAAAACCACCCAAAAAACCCAAAAACAAAAAAAAACCAAAAAAAAACCAAACACCCAAACAAAAAACCCCCAAAAAACCAGCAAACAAAAAAAACCCCAAAAAAACCAAACAAAAAAAACCCCAAAAAAACCAAACCAAAAACAAACAAACAAAAAAAAAAATCCAAAAAACCCAAAAAAACTCACAAAAAAACTCACAAAAAACCCAAAAACACCCAAAAAACAAAAAACCCCCAAAAAACCAGCAAACAAAAAAAACCCCAAAAAAAACCCAAAAAACAAACAAACAAAAAAACCACCAAAAAAAACCCAAAACCACAAAAAAACCCACAAAAAAACCCAAAAACACCTCAAAAAACCCCCCCAAAAAACAAACAAACAAACAAAAACCTCCAAAAAACCAACCAACCAACCAACCAAAACACCAAAGCAAGCCAAAAAACCAACCAAACGAACAAAAACCCAAAAAACCCCAAACAAACCCCAGAAGAGCCATCCCCATTAACATCACCCCACACCCCAGGGTTTCTGGGCCGGGTTGGGGTCGGGGTGGGGGGGGGTCCCCATCTACCCCCTGGGGTGGGATGGAAGGTGAAGGAGGTGACCAAAAAAGGATGGAGACGAGACCAAAACACACAAACACACACAAAACACCCCAAAAAGGTGGTGCAGGACGCACCGGCGTGGGGGGAGGAGGACGCCGGGGGTCCCACACCCCCACGGGACCCCCAGATGCATCTCCTCACCCTGCGATGGCCCAGAGAAGCCCATCTCCACCAACTGGGGGGGTCCTGTGCCCCCCAGCCCCATGGAGAAGCCAAACTCCGCTGGATGGGGGGGTCCTCTCTCCCCCAGCCCCACAGAGACACCCATCTCCTCCAGCTGGGGGGGTCTTGCATCCCCCAGCCCCACGGAGAAGCTGATCTCTGCTGGATGGGGGGGTCCCATGTCCCCCAGCCCCATGGAGAAGCTGATCTCTGCTGGCTGGGGGGGATCCCCTCTCCCCCAGCCCCACAGAGACACCCATCTCCACCAACTGGGGGGGTCCTGTGCCCCCCAGCCCCACAGAGAAGCCCATCTCCATCAGCTGGGGGGGTCCCATGTCCCTCAGCCCCACAGAGAAGCCCATCTCCACCAGCTGTGGGGGTCCCACATCCCCCAGCCCCACAGAAAAGCCCATCTCCACCAGCTGGGGGGGTTCTGTGTCCACCAGCCCCACGGAGAAGCCCATCTCCATCAGCTGGGGGGGGTCCTGTGTCCCCCAGCCCCACAGAGAAGCCCATCTCCGCTGGATGGGGGGGTCCTGCATCCCCCAGCCCCACAGAGACACCCATCTCCACTGGCTGGGGGTGTCCCATGTCCCCCAGCCCCACAGAGAAGCCAAACTCTGCTGGATGGGGGGGGTCTTGCATCCCCCAGCCCCACAGAAAAGCCCATCTCCACTGGCTGGAGGGGTTCCCTGTCCCCCAGCCCCACGGAGAAGCCCATCTCTACCAGCTGGGGGGGTCCTGTGCCCCCCAGCCCCACAGAGAAGCCCATCTCCATCAGCTGGAGCGGTTCTGCATCCCCCCGCCCCATAGAGAAACTGATCTCTGCTGGATGGGGGGGGTCCCATGTCCCCCAGCCCCACAGAGAAGCTGATCTCCACCAGCTGGAGGGGTTCTGCATCCCCCAGCCCCATGGAGAAGCTGATCTCTCCTGGATGGGGGGGTCCCATGTCCCCCAGCCCCATGGAGAAGCTGATCTCTGCTGG